GATGGATGACAGACGAGGGAGTGTTTTGCCTGGGTCACCCCACCCACAAGACCCAGGACAACCCACAAAGACCTCCCCCACCCCTCCCAATTTCCCAAGAAGAAAGGGATTATGCCTGGTCCAGCTGCCCACCCGCTATGGACCAAAAAAGGAAAAAAACGGTGAAGGCCCGAAACAAAAATGTTATACCCTAAGAAAAGAAAAAAAACGGGCCCAGCCGCCACTGGCACATTTGGACTGGAACTCTCCTCTTATGACAACAGGGAGCTAATCTAACCTTACCAGGCAGCAAGGTCCGCTCCCTATTTCGAAATTACTGCCTTCCATTTTCCCACCACAATGAGAATCACTTGACGGGCAGTGCAAGGCGGTGCTGCAGCGAGGAGGCACACACCACAACCACTGCTTACAAGTCAAAGGAGTTTGGGGGCGATGGTTTCAGAAAACATTTCGGGTGGGTCACCTTGAAGCAAAAAAATATCGGCGGGGGAGGCCAGGCTGTACTAGAATTTTCTTTTGCGGGCCGGGTCAGGTGGCAAGTGAAAAAAAAAGCTCATCTCTGAGTTAGCTGGAATCCCACCCGTCCTCCATACATACTCCATACATAGACAAGATCTGCTCACAAAAGCGGCCAGGTCCACGTTAAACCACCAGTACCTACTGGTTGTCAAGGCCCAACCCTAAAGCTACTGGTAGGCCTAACCTACAGCTACGGTGACGAGCCTCGAAGTACCGGTACTTCGAGGACATCAACATTTGTTTACAATAAATGTGAACAAAATCAAAAGAAAAACAAACAAAAAACAAAGAAAACTTTCAAAAAAAAAAGAAAAAAAGGAAGAAGGAAAACGAAATTGAGAAAAAAGGGACTGCATCGCGCCGTGAGAGAGAGAGAGAGAGAGGAAAACGACGCGAGTGACACCGTTCACTGCACAGTGGCACAGCAAACGCGCCGCTTTGGGCTCTCTCTCTCTCTCTCTCTCTCTCTCTCTCTCTCTCTCTCTCTCTCTCTCTCTC